ACCTGAACGCCAGGGGAATCGAAGTTCATGACGCGGATCTTGGCGGAGACATCGCCCAAAATGTGGAGGTCCACGCAGTCGATGATGGAGGCGTCGCGAATCAAGTCGGCAGCGTCAACCTGGAGGAGATTAATGTGATCGACGATGATGGTGGAGATGACCTGACAGTGACTGTGGGGTTGTTGGAAGAAGTCGGGGACAGTGGCTTTGCCGAGGGGGATCCCGCGGTACATGACAGTGAAGCTGGACTGGCCGTATCGGATGCCAACCTTGTTGGAGTTGGTGGCAGCAAAGGGGAGGCGAATGGAGAGGGAGAGAGAGGTCGTGGAGGGGGGAGTGGATGTGATGCCCATGTATTGCACCCCCACCTGGTCCAGATCGAATTGCGGCTTCTTCAGCTTCACTGCCAAGACTGACAAAAACCTATGTTGCATAGAAAAGTAGAAGAAAGAAAAAACAAATTTAATGTCGTTTGTATAGATTTAACGGAAGGGACTTCATTGATGCAAATTTTATTAAGTGACGATGCAATTGACGCACTTTTTAAAGGATAGATTAATTTGACATACTCAAGCGAAACTGGGGATAAAATAGACTATTAAACCTATATTTTATTTTAATTTATTATATTACTAAACCTATATTTTTATTTTTATTTTTATTTATTATAATAAATTTATCAATAATATATTATTATTATTATTATTATTATCTAATAATAATATTTAATTGCATCCAATAATATGTTTAGATATATTTTAATTGACAATATCTCAAAATATCTTTTAAAATATTTAACAATACCTAATAATGATTTTCTCTAATAATAATATCTCTTTTAATCTTTAAACACATCAAAATTATATCTCATATTTTATTTAACTAATTTTTAAAATAACACCAACTACATCTTCTAAAAGATTTACATAATATGTTTTTATTATATTTTATATTATTTAATNGGTTCTCCCATTGATGGTCTGGAGATCCGACAACCTAATCACCAAATGCAAAACATTTCCTTCCGTAACCCCATAGTCCTTCAGCAGGGAATTACTCAGTGCTAGTACTCGTCCATCACAAACCAACTTTTGTTTGTTTGTCAATGAAGGAAGCCCCTCGACCTTTTTCATTTTGAGTTTCAACGACTCAATGGTATCGTATAGAAGGACACGAATCAGAGTCAAGTATCCAAAATGGGAGAGAAATATGAAAATAAACTCATGATCCAATGACAAATGTAGTGGAGTATGGTATTCATTTGAAGACAGTAACAGTTCCCTTAGAATAGGGCTAAGGATGGTGACACCATCAGAAGACATTTCTAATGTTGATTAAGGCAATGAAAACCAAAGGTCGAGGCTTTCACCTAAGCCTGATCCCTAGTTTATACAATTTTTACAATAACACAGCCATAGGATTTACACAATTATAGCTGACTGAGTATGAGATGACATACAAACCACCTACCCAGATGACCAAACAAGCTCAAAGTGAAACTTTAACAACGTATGCACACAACAATGAACAATTTTTCATTAGAAATGATGAAAAATTCCAGACCCAAGCCCTAATTTCCCATCATTTCCTCACCCAAACCTAGAATCAAGGTACCCAGCAGATAAAAGCTCTAGGATTTGGATCCAATTACAAAAGGGCCATAATCAATTGTTATAAACTCGAGAGAGAGCAGATTCTTACCCTGAGGCATCCGACACATCATTCTCACTGACTCTCTCAATCTCTGTCATGGTAGAGATGAGAAAAGAAGCATAATAACCCTCGATTTTGCTTCAAAAGAAAAAGAAAAAGAAATTTGCGAAGAATATGAGGTTTAAGAGTGAAAATGTTAGGTAACCTAAATATGGAAAGAGGAAAATTAAAGAAGGGATCGGGTGTGTTACCTGAACGCCAGGGGAATCGAAGTTCATGACGCGGATCTTGGCGGAGACATCGCCCAAAATGTGGAGGTCCACGCAGTCGATGATGGAGGCGTCGCGAATCAAGTCGGCAGCGTCAACCTGGAGGAGATTAATGTGATCGACGATGATGGTGGAGATGACCTGACAGTGACTGTGGGGTTGTTGGAAGAAGTCGGGGACAGTGGCTTTGCCGAGGGGGATCCCGCGGTACATGACAGTGAAGCTGGACTGGCCGTATCGGATGCCAACCTTGTTGGAGTTGGTGGCAGCAAAGGGGAGGCGAATGGAGAGGGAGAGAGAGGTCGTGGAGGGGGGAGTGGATGTGATGCCCATGTATTGCACCCCCACCTGGTCCAGATCGAATTGCGGCTTCTTCAGCTTCACTGCCAAGACTGACAAAAACCTATGTTGCATAGAAAAGTAGAAGAAAGAAAAAACAAATTTAATGTCGTTTGTATAGATTTAACGGAAGGGACTTCATTGATGCAAATTTTATTAAGTGACGATGCAATTGACGCACTTTTTAAAGGATAGATTAATTTGACATACTCAAGCGAAACTGGGGATAAAATAAACTATTAAACCTATATTTTATTTTAATTTATTATACTATTAAACCTATATTTTTATTTTTATTTATTATAATAAATTTATCAATAATATATTATTATTATTATTATTATTATTATCTAATAATAATATTTAATTGCATCCAATAATATGTTTAGATATATTTTAATTGACAATATCTCAAAATATCTTTTAAAATATTTAACAATACCTAATAATGATTTTCTCTAATAATAATATCTCTTTTAATCTTTAAACACATCAAAATTATATCTCATATTTTATTTAACTAATTTTTAAAATAACACCAACTACATCTTCTAAAAGATTTACATAATATGTTTTTATTATATTTTATATTATTTAATTTGCATGTTTTTCCTTTATACACCCTCTATTTTTATTTCTTGCACCTAGTTAATAAAAGGTAAAAGACCATTTTGCCCCTAGACAAAAATATAAAGAAAATAAAAGAATATAACATAATAATTATGTTTTAACAAAACTCAAGAACACTAATTTTCAAATAAAAACTCAAAGTCTCAAAACTGCTTTATTTTTAAGATCTTACAACTTCCCCATCTTTAAAGGGAATTTCCTTTACCAAGGTCCCACCATGGGTGGACCACTACTTCAAACATTTGGTCAGACATCGGAAGTCCTACCTTGTAAATGAAAACCAAGACCACTAAAAAATCTTAAAGTAAAACGTATGAGACCAATAAAAACACCCAAAAGTGACAACTTTAACCACAATAACACCCAAATCGATGACGTATTACATTCAACACAATTACACCCAAACCGACAAGGTTTCACAACCAAATAATTATAAAATTTTAAGTACAAAACTTACGTCCTACTCAAACAAAAAGTTACATTAAACACAATTAAACTCATTCGACAATAAACCCTAAAACCCTAATATAGCAAACACAACATCAGGTTAAGAACACTTACCTGACCCACACTCTTCCAATTGCAATTTGAAATTGAACGAAGAGTGAACCAAATTGAACAACAATCCCATCAATTTCTTTAACCGAAATTCAACCCAAATTGATCCCACATTCGAAACCAAGGTTAATTTCATTTTATAGAAACAAATTTAACTTAACTTTGTCACATTATTGCCCTTTAACTTGCCACATATTTTAAAAATCAAAAATCTCATTCAATATTGACTTATATGAACATTACGTCATGTGATTTAGACCTTGTTAGTAAAAAGGAACAAATTGAATAAATTTTACAAAAGTTGGACCACTTTAAATATCGAAAAAACTTGAGAACCATTCTTCTGTAAAACATTCATAAAAATACACGTATTTTATTAATTTATTTATAAACTTTAATATTGAAAATCAATTTATTTATAAACTTTAATATTGAAAATCATGTAAAATTATTCACTGAAAAATACACGTATTTTTTTTAATGAGATCCATACATATTTATAATTTTTAATAAATATTAATTAAATATAAAATGTGTGTCAATAAGTTATTATTATTATTATTTTCATTCTATATATGTTTGATTAACTATTTTGCACCATTATATTTTATCAAACCCTTATGTTTTGTTCAATTAATTTTGAAATATATTTTTTATAATTGAATTATTTTTATTTTAAAAGGAAGTTACCAACAAAGTTACCCAGTAAATTAATCTTATATCCAAAACAAACTCTTGTTATTTCATTTATTAGAATTTCATATTTGAAGTAGTAAATTGCTGCAATATACCCAGCAATGTATTAATTATTTTCTCTATAAAATTACCCAAAAATATCTATTAACTGCTGTAGAATTCATTATTAATAAAAAAAGAAACACAATAAAAGTAAAATCATTTTAAAATCTCATTAATTAAAAATTTGTCATCTAATTACAATATTAACTACATTATTTGAAATAACTATTTTTTTAGGGTATCATAATGGAAAGTCCTAAATCTAAGTGAATTAGAAAAAAGATTTTAATAAAAAAGATAAATTATTTTTTTGGGATGTTAAAACAAGAATGAAATTATGCAGTGGAAATATCAGTATGCAGTGTGCCATCAATGCTCTAAAAGGGTGGGGAAAATCATTTATTAACTGCTGTAGAATTATTTAATTAAAGAATTAAAACAAAAAGTCCAATTAGTAAAGTTAATTATGAAATTAAAACCAAGTCCATTTAATAAAAATAAAATCATTTAATTTTTAAACCAAGATGAAACGTTCAATAGTTTTAATAATTTTAACTTTAGAAAATATTAATAATTTTAAATCTAAAAATATTTAATCAATCTAAACTTAGAAATCATTGAATAAATTTTAATTTAAAAACATGTAATAATTTAACTTAATTTGTATATTAAACTTAAATTTAAAATTCATTTAATATTTTAAAGTTTCATAAACATGGTATTTTAAATTAGAAAAACATTTAATATGTACATTAATAAAACTTATGTACCAAAAGAATGTTACCATGTACAAAGATTTTAATAAAAATTACATGTATATCTGGACAATGAGTGTTTAAAAAATCATTAACTATAGAACATTAATGTACTTTATTGAATACTCCTAATAATTAAAAATTAACATTAATTAATAGCCACATCTTTAGTAAACTTTTTAATCCTTCAAATACTCAACTCTTCCCTGAACTATTCAAAATAAGATTATAGTAAAAGGTCATTGTTAAATCAACCAATCAAGGAGTTAAAAAGTGTGTGTGTCCTCCAAAGTAGGAAATAAGATTAAATCTTATCAAACAAAATTGTGTGCTAATATAATTTATCAAGAGCAATTAAATCATGAGAAATGAAGTAACTTGCATAAAATTCTTTAAATTCAAATTTCAGGGTTTTCTTAAGCAAGAACAGAAAATATGTTGATAATTAATGTTTAACCTGCCTTGAACAAGATTAATGTAAGAAAATGAATATATAAAAAAGGAAAAATTGAAAAAAAAAGAGAGAAAAAAATGAATAAAAGAAGAAAAGATTGACAGAAGAAGGAGATGACAGTTTTTACAGAAGTTGGGAGAGAGAGAGAGAGAGAGTACAGATCTGTTTGACCAAAAGCCCTCACACAAATCAGGTTCATTCTGCTTCTTCCTCTTCTTCTAATCCTATTGTTCATAAGACCGATTGCATCACCGCTACCACTGTCATAAACATCATCAACATTTTCCCACATACATATTATAAATATATTCATTCCACCACCAACTCATACTTCATTAACCATCTCTTATCCTCTCTCTTCTCTCTTTCTTTCATTTTTTAGACGCAAGATAGTAGAGAACACAGCCAATGGAAGGAGGAGGAGGAGCTGCTCCGCCTGCTGACACCGTTATGTCGGATGCCGCACCGCATCCAGAACCCCAGCAGCCCCCTACAGCCATGGGGATCGACAATATTCCGGCCACGCTCAGTCACGGTGGCAGGTTCATCCAATACAACATCTTTGGGAACATATTCGAAGTCACCGCCAAATACAAGCCACCCATCATGCCCATCGGCAAAGGCGCATAAGGCATCGTTTGGTATTCACTTACCCTTTTCTTCTTTATTTCTTTGCAAATCGAATCCCACCCCAAGATAGTTTCTTTTTTAATGTTCTTTTTTTCTCTCTATTCTTTTATGTGTTTCTTGAATGTAAGAAAAAGATTGATTCTTTTTTATTTGGTTGGGAATGGACGATGGAAATTTTTGTTTGGTTTTTGTTTTTGTTGTGTGTGAATAGCTCGGCTTTGAATTCGGACACGAATGAGCATGTTGCCATCAAGAAGATTGCGAATGCGTTTGACAACAAGATTGACGCCAAGAGGACCCTCCGAGAAATCAAGCTGCTTCGTCACATGGATCATGAAAACGTTAGTGAGTAATGATTGAGATTGCTTTATGGTGTTGTTTGTTTGTTTGCTTGCTTTCTTGATTTAGTCTTGCTGTGTAAGTTTAATCTTTTCTGTTCTGTGGTGTAATTATCTGTTCCACTTTAGATCCTTATTTTTATGTGAAAGATTCAAATTCAATTGTACAAAGTGTTTCTTTTCCGTTCTGAAACAATTTTAGTTTGAATTGAGGGAATAATGAATGTTCAATGATGAGGCGTGTGAACATAGTAGGAGACATTGAGTCCTAAATGCTCCTGTTATTTTTATGTGGCATGCATGCATTAAGTTAGTGTCAGTAAACCTATTGATGATGATAATGAGTAGATAATAAGTATCAGTGTTAGTGCCCAGGTGTAGATGGTAATTCATAACATTTAAAGGGAAACATAAACTTGTGTCCAATGGGAAAACTGATGATAGACGCTTGTTCTTGATTGATACCCTGACAATTTTGTTGATTAGTTTGTCATCTTATCCTTAATCTTGATGCACTTGTTTACCATTTTTGTCCAGCATTAATGCATGCGTTTTTTGTTCTTCTTAAATTGCTTTTGGCATTTGATTTTGATGCTGGCTAAGATATATGTCAGACACGTTACTTATTTTATTGGCTTTGTCCTTGATTGAAGTGAACTGACGAACATGCTTATTTTTATTTGCTTCTTGTGGAGTCCCCAGTGAAATGAATTGGGCGAACATGCTTCATACACGTGTTCTGTTGAATTGTTGCATTTACAGCTGGGCTGCCTCTTTTTGTCTTGTTGTAGTTCTGATAACAGAAAATAAGTGCTCATTATTAGGTCATTTAAATGTGCGTACATATCATATTTCTTATACATTGTGGGACAAATAACTTTGTGACGTTATATGTAACAACTTAAGATAAGTAAGAATATTTCTTCTACTATTTCTTATATGGGTTTGCCTATTTTCTAGGTGGTTGCAATCAGGGATATAGTGCCACCACCTCAAAGGGAGATCTTCAATGATGTTTACATTGCTTATGAATTGATGGACACTGACCTGCACCAAATCATTCGTTCAAATCAAGCGTTATCAGAGGAGCATTGTCAGGTACATGCTTATATACACTTTTACATTTTGCCCATGTTTCTATTAACTATTTGCATACTTTATCACATTGTCATTGGTTATAAATTCTTTGGAAAATCTTTCAAATTTAAATGGTTCGTAATCTTCTTCAGTTTCATCTTCCATGTCATGAGGAAATGATTTGATAATTGTCTCATTTTTTGTTTGTTTGTGGAGTTTATTTAAGCTTATCCTTGACACCTGAATAAATTTTTTTCTTGGCACAGTATTTTCTGTATCAAATTCTCCGAGGGTTGAAGTATATACATTCTGCAAATGTTCTGCACAGGGACTTAAAGCCTAGCAACCTTCTCCTGAATGCAAACTGCGACCTAAAAATTTGTGATTTTGGACTGGCTCGAGTTACCTCTGAAACTGATTTTATGACTGAATATGTTGTTACAAGATGGTACCGTGCACCAGAGCTTCTGCTGAACTCTTCTGATTACACAGCAGCAATTGATGTATGGTCTGTTGGTTGTATTTTCATGGAACTGATGGATCGAAAGCCTTTGTTTCCTGGCAGAGATCACGTGCATCAGTTGCGTCTACTTATGGAGGTAACTTATTCAACAGTCTTTATTATAAGAAGAACATCCAAAAACTATTGATTCACATTTGTTTTTATGGTTGAAATTATTAATCTTCCAGACTTGGAACTAACACATTATTAAAGCTAATTGTATTCAGGTTAAGTTTCATTATATCATGTCCATGCTTGAGTAAAGTCAGACCACTAAACCAAAATGACGAAATTCTTACTGAAATCTACACATGCTTTCTAATGTTAATTTTTTCTATTCTTATGGTCTATATATAGTTCAAATTTGATGACAGTCTGCATCGAAATCAGTGTATAACAGACATGCTCTTACTTTGCAGTTGATTGGCACCCCTTCAGAAGCTGATTTGGGGTTTCTGAATGAAAATGCTAAGAGATACATTAGGCAATTGCCTGTTTACCACCGTCAATCTTTCCAAGAAAAGTTTCCACATGTCCACCCTGAAGCTATAGATCTTGTTGAGAAAATGTTAACTTTTGACCCTAGAAAAAGGATTACTGGTAAGTTTCAATTTTTCATTGTTTGAGTCTCAGATTCTGAGGTTAAATATTATCAATATGAAATATTTATTTTTTTGACACCACGAGTACTAGTTAAAATTCTATTTGAATATTTATTATTTGGTTGAGAATTTGAATCTACTTTGCCATAAATGCTTTCTGTTTAGCTTTGGAGATGCCATATAATTATTGGGTTATATACTATATATCTTTCAGAAATTGTATGTGCATGATTTTATCTGTTTAAACTATTCTATCAATGTGCCACGTTTCTATTACTTTTCTTGCATTTGGCTAAGCTTATTAACTAATGTGGCTAGGCTTTGTATTCTAGTCTTTGTGTTCTTACAACATAAAATCTGAGTTTGTGATATCTATTCTCAATAAGTAGTAGAAGTTCTGTCGCTTCAGTAAGTGTTTTAGAAATGTTCTGTTTTGATATATTTTTTTCTCTTGTAAACTACCCTCTTATTTTACTTTATCTCCTGTTTCCTTGATTTGTATAGATGGTGAAAACATTTTGTAATTATTAAGGAAAATATAAAGCATGTTCACAAAACAAATGCCCCCTGTCACAAAACAAATGCTTTACTTTATACTAGTCTCATAAGCATCACCATCGGCATTCAAAATTCAAATATTTATCCTAGTGCTTACGTTCCTTGATTTACCTTGTTTTGCAGTTGAAGATGCACTGGCACACCCGTACTTAACGTCTCTGCATGACATCAGTGATGAACCTGTGTGCATGACTCCTTTTAGCTTTGACTTTGAACAACATGCTTTGACTGAGGAACAGATGAAAGAACTGATATACCGAGAGGCTTTAGCATTTAATCCTGAGTATCAGCAGTAGTGATAGTCATGTTGTCATTGGATTTGGATCGTTTGATGTCTGTGTCCATAGATCAAGGGATGTCTTTGTGTATATATCTATCATCTGAAACCAGATGATATTGGAGTTGAATTGTTTCCCTCAGAGGCATGATTGGTAGACTGGAACAATCATAAGGTGTTTGTATTGGCTTATTTGCTTCATATTATTGTCCCAATTCATTGGCTTGAGCCAACTGATAAATCTTTCTCGGTCTCAAATTTATGATCTTATGGGTTTGAAATTCTTTCTTTTTTCCTTGGTAAAGGTTATTTGTGCTGCTACACTTATAAATTTAATATCACATTTATCTGTCATTAAAAATGTTTAATTAGTGAAGTAAAGAACGGTAGTTTATGGTGGTTCAACTAGTAAAAACTAAAATAGAAGTCAATCGATAAGTCAATAAATGTGTAACTTTGTTCTTTAGATAAACTGGGTGGTTTGTTTTAGTTCAACCAGTAAAGAACTGGCTTTTACTGGTTGATTTTGGTGTAACGGAGATTTCGAGCCTTTGATTTTAACATAGAGATGAGCAGCTTTATTTAAAACGCTCGCTTTTCAATGGCATTGTTGATTGATTACAGTATTTTATACTTACCCAGAAAAAATATATACATTTACTGAGAACACCGTTAGAACAGAAGAAGCTTGAAGGTGCAGAGCTTAAGTTTTGGGGTTAAATCATTAAATCCCCCAAATTGACTTCGTCAAATTCACTTCCATTCTAACCACTGTTATCTTACAATGTCATTTATCAGATTTTATTCTCTAATAGAATGGATTAAGAAAAAATCCGTCACAAAAACAATACTATTTTAACATACCGCCATATCATGAAAAAAAGGCAGAGTTTCTCAACCCATAGAAATTGGTGCCCTCAGGTACACTAGTAAAGATTATATGCATTAAATAAGCAATATCTTCAAAAGTAGTCTAGTCTAAACTATTTTATCATTTTCTTAATCAACTTGATTGACTCGGAGTTTTACAGATAAATTTAAATAAAAATAAATATAACGCAAATTAGCACTTATCGTATTGCACATCTTAAAATATAAATTTAAAGCCAATATATCTGTATTTTCATTATTTACTTATATATACTCTGAAAACGTTTTGATAAAAAAAAATTAAAACAGTTGATTCTTGTACTAAAAGAAATTGACAGGTTCCTTTACCGGTTTGACAACTTGTTTAACAACTATCATTTTTTTTTTCTAATTTTCAGGATATTTTAAACTTTTAACCAGGTGACAGTTATTATTACAACAGCTATCTTTGTAAAAGTAATAAATATACGACAAATTTAAAACTGTTATAAAACCATTAAAATAATTTTAAGATGACACATATAAGCACGTCTTGAACGAAAAACTATACACTTATACGATAATAAATCATCGCAAATTAGTGCTGTATTCCCTCCCTTTCCATTGAGTCCACTAATAGTTTTATATGGTTAAACCAGTGAGGTCCGTTAAACATCACGCTATAATTCAATTTATAGTCATCGAAACTCAAAGATCCCCTCCATCTCACACATTGATAGAAGACAATAATCCTTTCTGAAAAAGACAAAATGGCATACAAGATTACAAATCTGTTAAGAAAGAATAAGTTGAACATAAGAGTGAAGCTGCCCACAGTGTACAATTTGCATAAAATAATTTTATGATACATGACCAAGTATTCAGACACTATTAACTCTTAACATTCCCAAAGAATCTTGAAAGACGAACTGGACCATTATCTTCACTATCCGTTCCAGTATCCTTGCTTCTTGACTTGGGCTTCTTTTCCTTCTTTGACCTCTTAGACCTGGACTTGGACCTCCTTGATCCTCTTTCTTCTTCATCACTGCTGGAAGAGTATGAAGATGATGAAGAGGAGCTAGATGCAGAAGATCTTCTTGAATGCTACAATAGTAGAGGTAAAGAGGATACATAAAAAAGCTTACATTCATAACAAACGGATACATCAAGTGTCAATCAACATTGTTTGAACAAAGTACTAATTTAAGATACGGGTGTTTTACGCAAATAACAATCCAAGAGAAGCTACATATTAATTGAAACCAACGATTTCAGTCAGCCGCACATTTACACAAGTTAATGTTAATGTCAAGCATAGACATCTATAACATTAAATAATGTGCCTACTCTTTTGTAATATGTGTGAACATTCTTTTACCATTAACTTTATTGATTCAATGATATGTAAGAAACTACTCATGAGTAGTAATTACTGTGATGAAAAATTATAAATGTTCCTACTGTGCAATTACAACATTATAAAAATTATCAAAAAAATATTAATTTCTATAAGTGCTTCTTATGTACACATTTTCTCTAACTTTAACATAAAATTTAGCAACCGCTTTACATTTTCAGACAAGTTACATTAATTAAGTTTTTAATTACAAATATTTTTATTATCGTACAAGAAAATTGACAAACAAGCGGCACATACACACGATGCAACAATGAAACATCAATTTCTTTTAAAAAAAATAATCACAATTTTCATCATAACCTTCAGTCCAGATCTCAAGAAGATAAAATATGTTACAGGGTATATAACAACCAACCCCCTTGATGTTTCAGCCATTCTCAATGTTCATTTTAGTTTATTTTGTAAATCCACTTGAAGCATGCGTTCCATAAAAAATAATATTTTACCCATGAAAGTTGAAAATGACTGAAATATCTGAATATTTTCGTATTTATCCTTTTAAAAAATTTTAAAGAGAAGACTCAGAAGCCTCCAAAATTTTCTAACATTAATGCAAACAACTTGTACCTTCAATATATTTAGTCCAAAAGCATGGTCAATGAAAACTAAAAGCAAAGACAAGACAATCACTAGCTCTTAGTTAAGTTAAAGAGAGAGTTAAGCTATTTCCAATTTGCAAACAAAAACACGAAATTCAACAAGTTTTCATTTCATCCATGTTAAACATAAATGTCTTCGGAATTAAAAAGCACCTTTCTCTTTTTGCTGCTGTGCTTCTTGGAAATTTTGTCCCTCTTATCTGCCAATTAGAATATGCAGTCGAAATTAGCAAATTAAAAGCTAAGTACTAGCACAACACAAGATAACTATACCACACATACCTTTAGAATGTCTAGACTTGCTACTAGAGTGATTTCTTCCTTGGGAAAGCTTACGAGCCCTTTCAGCATCTAGTTGAGCTCTGTACTCTCTCATCATCCTATCTGCATCTGCTTCCAATTCCCCTTTTTTTATTTCCTCTTCCTAGTATATAAAATACAAATAAAGTTCAATAAATAATATCGTGAACAAACACAACTTAAAACACTGTTTATTGACCTAGAATATTGATACATGGAGTATTATGATAAGCATTGATATTTAGGAAATAACTAGTAAAGTAGGGGAAAGAATGCAAATCCAGAATATATTAGCCACACACTACAAAAAAGCTATAAAATAACCTAACGAGGCAGGTCTTTGGCAAATATTTCCTTGGAATGAGCACGATCATACATGGCTTTCAGGGGACCACGGAGTGACTTAAACAATCATATATTAAGAAAAGCGTGTAAGATAATACCTGATGGCCCCTTAATTAGCTAATGAGAAAGATAAAGTTTCTTAGCTGCCAGACTGCAAGTGTCCTTAATGGCTTGCTTTCAAAGTGGCTATAGTAAAGCTAGCTTACAAGGCTGGCTCTTAGTTATGGTGCGGCCAAATGACAAAAAACTCCCTCTTTTTTAAACATTACCATAACCCTCTCTGTACTGTTTATCATCAAATGACAACGACCTGCCTTCCTCATAAAACGCAGACACAACTTGTACATTTATGATGGAAGTAGAGCCTTGAGAAAAAAAAAGGATAGATAATACACAGACTGGAATCTAATTTCCATAGAAAACTTCTAAGCAAAACTACTTCAATTGCCTACAACTAATTTCAACATTTTCTGTTACAGACAAACTCAGATCCAACTAATTTATAGGGGATATCCATAGTCATGTGAAACCAAAATCGCAGTGTCATGTGGGAGGTTAGTAGAATTTGTCAAGTGGTTCATAATAACAAGATTTGTATAATGTACTAATAAACAGTAAAGGGCATGTTTGGACAAGTTTCTTCAGAAGGACTTCCAGGAGAGGAAAAAAATGAAATTAACTTCTCCATGAGCTAAAATTAGCTAATGAACAAGTTAAAAATAAAATTATGGAGAAGTTATACATGAGTGCTTCTAGAAATTAACTTATGCACATAAGCTAATTTTAACTTATAGAGAAGTCAATTTCATTTTTCTTATTTTTCTTTATCTCGAAGTCTTTATGAAGAATCTAGTCCAAATAGACACAAAACAGGCAACATACTCTAAAAAACCAAAAGCGAGTGGTCTGTCATTTGGCCATATATAGAGAAAAATGCACGTCTCATAAACAAGAGAAAATATAACATTCTCACAATTTAGTTAGTTATATTAATGAATCCAAAATAGCAAACAAAATAAAAAAATAAACAATGAATATGGTATATTTTTTTTCTATAAGCCTAAAAAAAATACAACAATGAACTTTAATTTCTTTCTAATGTTTTCAGGTTACACAAATTATAATTTTATGTTAAAAATTAATTCAGTTCCTGAAAGAAAACTTCATAAGATAATCTAAAAATCCTTTTGTCATTGTATTACATATATGGAGAAGGCTTAATTACATTTTTCATCCTTGCAAAGAGCGGTCTTTTGGTCATTTTTCTTTTTACTTTAGTCCTCGCAAGTTTTTTGGAAATCATTCCCGCCATTAATCTTACTGTCAAAGTTAAAATGTTGATGACATCACCACATACAAGTTACAACATCAACAAAATTGGCAGATTAACGATCCTGACATTGCCAAAAGTGTTGCATCAACATACGATGTCATCAGGAACTCAAATAAAAAAGCAACATATTTATAGGGACCAAAATAAAAGAAGAAATATTTGCAAGGACTAAACAAAAATAAATATTTCCAGGGACTAAAACGTAAAAAATTATTTAGAAGGACTAAGGTAAAAATAACATACTTAATGTAGAAGAAACTAGGTGCAGTTGATTGTTATGAACCATCTTTGATAAGATTAAAAAAAATGTAAATTATGTTGATGTTAAAAATGAATAATTTAACCAATTTTCAGAATGAGTGATTGAGACCAGAACAAACAAATACACCTAATTCTAAGGAAAGCCTACACATGCAACGTAGTTTTTCAAGTTTTATTTTGTCTTGGGTGTTTCTCTCAATCCATTGGGTAGAGAATAATCTCTCACACAATAACATGGCTATCGCCAGGCTACACCTCTTTGTCTTGGCTTGGCCAAGCCTATATGTACTGGATTTTCGGGTTTCCCATTTTGAAACCTCTAATTATCATTATTGGTGTCAATCACTCATTTGAAAATTGGTAAATTATCATTGCAAACATTAACATGATTTACCTTTTTCTAATCTTGTTCAATTGTCATAATTTCTATTATTATAAAAAAACTCACAAAATTCAACTGGACCTATTTTTTATTCTACTTCAAACATGCTTTATAAACGTTATTTATGATTTTAGTCCTTCTAACATAGCATGGGAGATAATGCAATCAAGGTTAACTTTGAAGGTCAAATTAGTGGCATAGAGGATTTTCATAAACAATTTTTCCTAGGACTAAAGCAATAAAAAAAGGGTTAAGGATCAAAACAAATAATTAAGAATGAGTCGAAAGTTTTTGAGTTCTGTAAATACTAAACACTTTTAAGTCTGTCGCCAATCAAATGTTAAACGATTTGGGGAGCGGGTATTGGATATGTTTGGGGTTTGCTGTCAGTTTACAAATCTTAGGGCAATGAAATGTATGTGAATTAAGATTGGCCAACTGGTTAAGTGTTGATGTTTATCTGTGTGGCTAGGGTGAAAGAATCATATTCAGCGTTCCCCAATGAGGCATTGATTAATTTTTATAAAAGAACTTGAGCACAGTATAACCATTGCGATACAATGAGGAATAAAAACTAATACTCGTACAATGCCAAATGACAAACATGGGCTTTCCAACAAAATGTAATTATATTAGAAAAAAAAAACGAAAGAAAATTTATAATCAAATCATGAGAAGGAAAGGGAAAATAAACAAGTTCGTTTAGGAAAATGGGCCAAACTTCAGACACGATTCACAATTGTCTAATATATGAAAGGAGAGCACTTGAATGATGAGATAAACAACCCTCAAATTGAATACAGAGATAATAATCCATAATTGCTATAAACAAGGATATATTGAAGCAAAATTTAAACCAGAAATGACAGGGATTGAAATAATAAAAAAGCTAGAGTATGTAGCTTGGATAAGATTGAGCAGCAAGAAAATTCAATTGATGTTTTTTAAATCAATTCATTCTGATTAAAAAATGCGGAGGAGAGAGAACATTCAAGGTTTTCAGAAGATTACCTTTTGCTTCTTTTTGTACTCTTCCCAGGTAATGGTGTGAGAGGTGTTAAGGCTAGCCAAACGTGCTGCATGCCATTCTGGTGAATGAAATGAACCATCCACCTGCGACTGTCCTCATCAATATCGCTCCAGGGTAAAAGAGAAATATAGAAGTGATCCAACATTCAAGCATTATAAAGCATTTTATCCTGTACCATAATAATACACAAGAAGAACGAAGACCATCATAGGAAGTGTTCCCATCAAATAATGTATATGCCTCAGTTATGAAATTTTCCACCAGATCACATCAACAACGGAAAAAAAAAGGAAATCCAGAATAGTTATGCAAGATTCTTGGATAAAAGATCCTTGTGCATGAAGTTCCAATTCATTGTTCACTTAGTATTAATGTTTCGAAAACGGACTGTGATCATGATTTCTACATCAAGGCCAAGGCTTTTAAGTATATTAAGTACAATGCGACCACAACTGTAACCACATGAGCTGTATTTGCTCACAACTTTCTGCAATATTATGAAATGCAATGACCCCCCTAGTGTGAACGCAGCTTAAAACCTTGAACTAAGTATTGAGAATGTTTACTTCCACTAACAACTAAAATTTGTAGAGAATATATTAAACTAAAAAAGAAGAAAAAAGGTTAAAATTTGTGATTCAAGCAGGGTTTTAAAGTATCAATGCACAAGTTATATTTTCCCAGTAAAGTTAAAGCATCGGACAACTTTTCCAGCCCAATTTATTTCAACAATATTTTGTAAGGAAGCTGGAAATGATCCCAGAAAACGAGTCCAAATGAGTAAATACTAGTCTAAAACAGCAAGTTCTAAACTTCGCGTTGAGGACCGATGCTTTGAAACCATAGAGTTCCCGATTGAAAGAGTCAGAAATGTTCTGAAATTAGTATTCGGGATGAAATCGTATTTGAGATTGCAATATGCTAATTGACGAATACGGTAAATTGCGGGGCAAACAGAGTCCAACAGTGTAAAATCCAGCACAAAGACATTCATAATCATGTGGTGAACTACTATTAGAAATGCTGTAGGGGTTTCGTCAGGAGAGATCCGTGATAAGGAAAGGGTAAAGGCAGAAGAAGATAGGGATTATGTTAGGGTTAGGGTTAGGGTTAGTATGGAAGGGTACAAACCATGCCGTCTTCAATCTCGTCGGGGCCGGCGGAGGCACCGCCCAACCTGGCTCTCTGCATAGCTTTGTAGGCTTGGTTTTTCCCCATTGTTACTCTGCGGATTGAACACAACACAATTCACTATGAGATCATGCAGATTGAAACACCACTCCTCCACAGGAGTTGGACCAGGTTTCTTCAAATTAGGGATTCAATTTCCAAATCTCAAACCTCCTTCGATACCTTCTTTCGTTTCTTTAGATGTTTGGTTGTTTCCTCTTTTATCGTTCTCCTTCTCATTCAGATGCAGCAATTACATGATGGGCCTTAACTTGATGTAAGACCCGATGGGTAGTATCGTTTTATAGGGGCTGGATATACACGTAGATTTTTAGACATGGGAAATGGTTTTTTCTTCCTTCTACCCCCATGCTTTTAATTATGCACTTTTCATATTTTTAAAATTTCATTTTTTTCCTTTTCATGTTAAAAATAATGAAATATAATTGACGATTATAAATTTCAAAGCTCTTTAAATTTCATATCCTAAATTATGTAAATGCTTTTTGTTTTACATTATTTTGTAATATACATTTTGAAATATTTTTGGCAATACTCTAAATTATGCATTTTAGAGTGCTATTCACCCTCTTTTATGTATTATTTGAAATGTATGATTATTTTTCACTACTTTATAACGATTGTTATATAAGATATTTAATCATGGTTTGAAATGTGTATAATAATACTCTAAATTATGCATTTTAGAGAACTCTTCACCCTCTTATATGTATTATTTGAAATGTATGATCAAAGCGTTTTTTATATATTATATAATATGTATGATGGAGGCACTTTTTATTAGAAGTTATAGCATGAATCATATAGATAAAATTATTGCTACTTAAATGTGTTCAAAATAATGAAGTATAATATACTTTTTGAAATACTTTTTACTATCAATAATATGTAATGATTATTATATAAGATATGAATTATGTTTTAAAATGTATATGATAATGTTCTAAATTATGTATGATGGAGCACTCTTCACCTTCTTTTGTTTTGTTTATTATTTGAAATATATTTAATTCCCAAGTTTTTTAATATATCATATAATATGTATGTTTTTTTACACTTTTCATTAGAAGTTATGATTTGAATCAAATAGATAAAATTGTTACTTATATTTTTTGTTATATGTTTTTGTCTTAAGTGTCTATTTTCTAGATTTTTCTTTATAACAATCGAGTTTTTTTATCAAATTATAATACAACATAGGTTTTAAGCTCACATTGAACTTAACAAACATTTTTTAAGTTTATTATTGTGTTGTAAGGGATGCTTCACTTTTGTCTATATCAATATTACCTGGGATACACGTTAAAGATGCTTTGTTTCAACAACCATTTTAACATATGCATATGTGAACTCTAATCTAACTATCTAATGTGTACAATCTTTAGTTTTACTTCATTTTGAATAAAAAAAATTTTGACCTAACAATGATAAGTACTATCAACTATTGCGATGTTACTTAGAGAAAGTTGACATTTAATATTGCATGGAGTGCATTTAATGTAACTCTACATTCAAGCTTATTAAACCAAAAATAATGAAGCTATTTGAATTTAAAAGCTTTAAACAATGAAAAAAGGATTTACAACAATTCCTTCTTCCAAGCTCTAGATAAAGTTATCATTCAAAGAAGAAGAAAGAAAAATGATCAATTGTTAAGTGTTAAAATGTTGTCAAAATCTTTCTATAACCTTAAAAAGCATTGTAGAAGAACATCGTTGTGCTCATGTAGCAAATTAAAAGAAAGTATTTACATTTGTATGTCATTAGCCACTAAGAGTGTTTACTTTTGAAGAACATCATTTGAATGATCCCTATGAATACATCCTTTTACAAATTTTATTTGTTTTAGCTAAGAGTGATTGTTAAACAATACTCTATGTTAGTCGGGATTTGTTGTGGTCCAAACAATATTCTATGGATTAGTCTGGTTAAGGTTCAAACAATCTCGATTTTTAGTCAGGAATGATTATGATCAAAATAATCCTTTAGGTTTTTAAGTAGGAGTGATTGAGTGTTCAAATACTACTTGTCTTTTAGCTGGTAGTGGTTATGTTATAAATAATACTATGTTTATAATTTGTAATAGTAGTTTAAAGAGTTAAACTAAAGTCTGAACTATTAGATGAACTAGCATAAACATCATATAGTAACTTTTTTTTATTCTCTTATTATTATTCGTTACATATTATTGTTACAATAAGAGATTTACAAACCACCTTGTAGAAAAGATTTTAGACAAATAGTTTGTTAATCTAAAGTCGTCACCTTACCATTTGATATTAGACGATACATTGCAAAACTTTTAAAATGTTTTAAAACATAATTTAATTCTCCTTTCTTGAGTTTTGACTTTTTTTCCCACAAGGTTTAACAATTTAATTATCTATTATTATATGTCTAATATGCTATTTTGTTATAAAAAATAATGTCCTAATAAGATAACTAACTAAAAGATAATGCCACTAAGTTTATTTAGATTAAACATGCTTTTAGTCTATAAACTTATACACAAAATTGAAATTCATCCATATTCTAAAAATTGATACATTTTGATCCCTAAACTTAATAAATAAATGAATATAGTCATTTTAATCCATTGATGTCAACTTTTGTTACGTGTTAAATGGTGTTCCAAAATGACATTTGAGTTAAAATGTGTGAAATGGTATAAACAATTCAAACGTCAACCTAAAACGTCGTTTAAGCCAAAAAGAATTACTTAGTTAGGTTAAAGACTATATCTATTCATTTTTAAAGTTTGAAGATCTATATCAAAGTTTTAGACATAAATAAATTTTAATTTTACATTAAAGTTTAGAAACTAAAAACGTATTTAATTTAGTTTATTTAATAGTTTACTCATAACGAAAATAATGACTTTAACTTAATCTATCAATACTCATATTTATTATTTTAATTAATTTTTTGTTCATGTAGTGACTTAAACATAAAAAAGTATCATTCTTAAAGAGATATTCATTCAGTGTTATACTTACTTAAGTTGTGTTTGGTTCAACTAATTTACTGTGTGCAAGGGAACGTGAGTGAGTAATAAAATATTTGTTTTAAGACATGAGAGTGCATTTGCATCGCCAACTCATCATTTATGTTTTTACAGTTTTGTCCATATCTTTTTTTACATAAATCTCTTTTACTTTTTTTGAAAATTTAAGATGTTTTCACAAATGGATGCATGCAAATTCATGAAGAAAATAAGAGAAACAAGTGTACAATGAATAGGGAGGTAGATAATACAATAGAGAAACCAATTCAGAAAAATAGTTTGGGCTGCATGCAAAAAAAAGGAATCAATTCTCTCGTACTCTAAGTTTTGAGGTTGAGAGGAATTGGTTCCTCCCAATTGAAACCAATGTGAAATAAAGTATGTTCAATTGCATAAAATGATTTCACATATTATTGTAAAGAAAAATATTTTCCTTATTGATTATTGTTTTATTAAATAATGTTAGAAACTTTCAAAACTTAGTTTCTAAATTGGTGATATTATTTTGAAAATTATTATATTATTTTATGATAATTTATTATTTTTTACTATACGTATTTGACTTTTCATTTCTTTTTTCTTTACATCAGTATCGCATAATTATTTTAACTCATTATATTATTTTTTACACATTTTATTTTATACCTTTCTATAATAATAATAATAATAATTTTTCAATTTTAATATTTTATTATAAATAAAAAATTCAATTTCATTCTAATATAATTTTCATTACTTAAATTTAAATTTATATCAAATTTTTACACAGATAAATTAACAATTAAAACATTTTTTTAAATTTATCACACCCATCACCTTATTTATTTATAAATTTTTTCTTCAAATCTTTGTATTTATTTTTTAATTCAAGCAACACTATAAATCCTTTTTCCATCCCTTTAAATTCATTCATTTACTCTCCCTCACATTCATTCTCTAATTCAAACACTACCTTATTGCAATCTACAACTTCCACACCAAAATATAAAAAAAATTAACCTCATAAAGAACTTGACCCTTATAAAATTAAATTTCAATAAAAATACTACGATAACAGGACTAGACTCAAACAAAAATGCTTAAATGTAAGATTCTTCTAACCCATTAACTTTCAAAAGTCACTTTATAAAAGTTTAAATTAAAAACAAAACTCTAATTTTGTCTATATTTCATTTTTTAAAATAAAGGAATATATTCTTAAGTTCAAACGTCAATTATTTAAAATAATAATTTGGTAGACAATAATAATCGCCCTTAACTTTTTCTAAAAAAAGGAAAAAACCACTAAAAATAACATACATTGAATTCGTAGCAAGTCAAGAAATACAATAAATACCATCACGGTAATGGATTGTTTACGTGGATTGATATGATGGCTATGCAGAAGGTTGATCCAAGAGCAACAAGTCATATGAAATCTGTTTAATGGTTATATACAGCATAACGAAGAAAAAGAACACGAGCTGGTTGTAAACCAACAGCATAGAAGTTGAGGTATAAAGAGATCTCAATTCGAGAAGAAGAGGGTAGGCAAGGATCACATGGACGCGTTGTCCTGACAAACCCAATAGTTCGAAAATGGTAAAAGTGTTTCCCCAGAGCCAGCAAACCCTGACCTGCTTCACTTTTCAAGATCCTTAAGGCTGTGTTCGCATGCACCGATTTTCCTGTTCATGCGGATTACAGGGCGACGAATTGAAGAAACCCTCGTGTTCGTATGAGATGATTGGCGAGGAAAAGCGCGGACGGATTTGCGGGATTCATCCAATTTTCATCACCCGCGGATGTGCGAAGATTTGCACTGATTTACATTGAAATGTCGAGTTTGCCCTGCACCTTTGTATTAAATTCCTCATACGTATACGTAAATGGATTCCATTGAGCATGCACCAAATAACCGATTAC